AGAAGGAAAAAGTCGTGCGTGACCACACCGCGACTCGAATCCCAAGAAGGTTCTGACGTTGACGATCTCTTGACTGAGCAACCCCGGTTAAAACTCGTGTGTGAATGTCGTCATCATTTGAACGGCAAATGATATATCATGCGATCTCATACGTAACCTACTTCGAAGGAAGTTATTTACTGCAATAAACAGAGAACAGAAAAGAACGAGTTCTTACTGGAAGGATACTGGAATGAGAAGTGCCAATTCGCCTCGACGCGGAGCGTTCGTCCAGTCATTCTCGCGTAAAATTCGTAGCTGTCTCTCGGAAAAAGATTTGAGAAGCCGAAATTTTCCACTATCACGGTGACGACCTTCGACGCCATCCGAAACCTCACGACGTCCTCGATTCGAGCCTGAAAAAGTGATACCTGATAGTGTGAGCAACAGCAACCGCCAGAGAAGAATACGCACTCGATGCCCATCGTGGATGCACGTATGGAACAGCGAAGGAGCGACCGACAGCCCGATTGCTTCAGGAGTCATGCGCGTCGGAGAGCCATCGGACGAATCGCAAATCAAACGAAACGTCCCGAACAGTAACACGAGAAGGTGCTGCGAAGGCACTGGCAACGAGGATATCACCCTAAACCGTCAATTGTAACTTTACAATCACTTCATATCAATCTTCAACAAAACACTTTACCGCACTTTTCTAAACAACGCTTCATTTTAAGCACCGTTCTTCCCACACACCTCAAGTAACTCGATTCGCCGCACAACAACGCTAAAAACAGTTTTTTTCGACACAGAAGAAACCATACCATTTCCACAAGGACCGGCATTTTTGCATAAGCTGTTCGCGCAAAAATATCAGAATATATCATTTGTTAAACTAATGTTCAAGGACACCAGTACGATCTGTATTAATTCAATTCTTTATGCGAACAGCCCTGCCTCCTATCCCGGCAACTATCCACTAACGAAAAAAATGCGATTACTATACACTTTGAATCAGCTCAATGGACTCACTTACGGGAAATGATGGCTTGATTCTGAAAAGTGACTAAACGTTATTCACCAAAATTAGAATCAGTATGAAGCTGCTGGGTTGTCGTTCTTTCTCAACTGTATGGAGCATGATTCGGACTCAAATGCTGTATTTTTAAGAGAAAACTCGATAACTACAAGGACATGACAGCATTCACCTGTATCTTTTTCACATAACGGTAGCACCTATTTCTATTTCTCTACTCAAGGGAAAGACCGGCTAGTGATTCGACCGAAACCTGGGCCAACAATCTCTTAATTGTGAGTCTGGCACTCTTGCGACAGAGGAATCATTCACTTGTTGGACAGCACAAAGTTCTTAGCACAATTTTAGCATTGAAATCACTTATTCTCCAACAGATCTTTCGTATCGAGAGGAGTCAATCAAATCCTTCACAACTGGCAAGTCTGCTTTGCGCAGACTAAAGCATACAGATCACATATCTACAGACTAGAACAATCTTTGCATAACTCTTCTCGAAATTCAACTCTTCCTTTTGGATTCAAGCATCAAGTTTAATGGGCCATCAGAATATTCAAGATAAATTATAACCCTAAGGCGCTCGTGTCAAACATTACAGCCGTATGTCTCGTCCAGTCTGGTATAACTCTAGAACACCACACCTTGTCATTCATAGGCCAACGCCTTGCTACGTGCGATTGGTAGCATTGAAGCGCATTGGGGTGAGTTCTTGGCCCATCGTAATTACCGGTTAATAAGGAAAATTGACATCGCGCAACGTTCAAACTAGCATGTCTAAAATGCACATCGTCTACTGCCCCACTGCTCTCTCGTTGGTGAATCAGCTGATCGGTTAAATAGCGATTCAAACACCAAATGCTTCATGACTCAA